TTTTTTTTTTTTTGCGGCCGGCCGGAAAAAAAATCGTCGCTTGACGGGTCTGTTGACTGTAAAATACGCGCGAACGAACGAACGAAACGAACGAAACCAAACGGTGCACGCTATCGACCCGTGCAAAAAGATGTTGCGCGGGTCGCGGGCCGGGTCGCGAGCCGGGTCGTACGCGGGAAGTGATGACGGCAACGGGTCCGTAGTTAGCCTTAGCCGGGGGCGATTCTCTGCCGGTAGCGGCGGAAGCGATGCCGGCAGTGCGACGCACTCGAGCAGCCAAAGCGTCACTGAGGGGTCCGAAGAGCCCCGGTCGTTGGAGTGGTTGAACGGAGGTGCCAGCGATCCGAGAATGGAGGTGATGCATGCCATGGACTGTCTTCATTTCAAATCAGCGATACCATGGACGATGGATGAGCTTTTCTGTTGTCGTATGTTGTTGTTTTAGTCCTATTTATTATGACGGAAGCCCCCCCATTTTTCGTGGTAAGACGTGTGCTACACGTATTTCGGTGTATGCAGAGTATTACACTTTTCAGTGTATTTCTTGGGTGTTGAATTTTCGGAGTAGCATGTTGAATATATATATACATGCCCAGACCACTGCTGTATGTGGGCCACGCCCCAAAGGGCAGCAGTTTGTTCATTTGGGAAGTTACAAGCCTTGTTAGGGAGGTGAGTCTTATCATCAGAGGCATCGCCAGTCCCGGTTGCGGAGGAATCGATCACGAGGTGAGGATGGTGACGTCAAAACTGGCTTGCTGCTTGTTTGAAACAAGGGGGGGTATGTCGGCGGTATAAACATACGGAGAGTTACACCGGCTGCTGCTGATGCTGCGTGAGTGTTGTGTAGGGTGCGCCAGTGTAGTGCCTCATTTGGAAAGCCGGGGAAGTGGCTACCAATCGGCCCCATCCCTCCAGATTACATTACACTCGCGGCTGTAGGTGTTGATACTACCGGTTGTAACTCGAAAGTAGGGTCTTCGTTGCGTGTATTTGGAAAAAAAGTGCAACGCGGTGTCTTGGGTGTTAGTTTTGGTCGCCCATTCGCGGTGTTTTTGGACGCTCGTATGGGAACTGCAATTGCTGTGGTGATCTGTTATTGATGGGTAGCGGCTGCTCAGCTGTTCCGTCTGCAGTAGTAGATTGGCCAACATATTGCCGTGCAGCCCTAAACGGCGTCCTGCGTGCTTGGCATGAACTGTGACGATACCGCGTTCGGAGTTAACAGCAACACCGATAGATAGCTGTTGGGAATGTTTGTGTTACTGCTGTGGATGTCAAGTGCAGCTTGTAGTGGAGCATGCTTTTTTTTCTCGTCTAGAATGTTTTGTTTTTGCACTGCTGTTCTTTTTCCCGCGTTTGTTCGACGCTGAATCGAGAGAAAAAGCCACGTGGCAGGGAAAAAAGAAAAAAAACAGTTAACTCTGTGAATGCATGTAGCGTTTGTATGCATGGTGGATGTAACGTGGATGTGGATGCATGGTTGTGTGTGTTGTGTCGGTGTTCTTACAGGCCTTTGTGGTGGACCGTTAAGCCCTGCACGAGGCCCTGTCTGTGCCCTGAGCGGTATATACACACCACAGACACTGCTGTGCGTTGGTTGGCTTTCGAATTGCTTGTTTGCAATTCACGCCTGCGCCTCTTTGCTTTTTGTTGGAGTTTTTTGTTATTTGTGATCGGAGGAAGGCTGCTTTGCCATCTCTAGGCGAAACGCGGTGCATCCAAACCCACCGTCCGGGGTGTTCGGCTTTTCACTAGCAAGCCTTCACTAGAAAAGAAAGCCGCAGTTGTTGCAGTTGTTTCCCTGACTGAATTTGAAAAAGGACGAAACCCGTAGTTGGCGTGTTGTTCCGCAACTGAACCTAGAATAGAACGAAAAGCTGCGGTGACTTGTTTTTTTGTAATTGTTGTGTTGGTTACGTTCTTGCGCGTTCGCATCTCGTCCTTGTTGCGGTAGAGCTATGCATAGCTACCTCCTGGTGGGGTCCAACATGACATGTGCAAGTTGGGGCACGCCATAGGTGAGGGCGACACCGGGACTAGCACGTTGTTGTCGACATGTGCTGCGTTTTTTTTTTCTTCTTGTGTTGATATTTTTCCGCTCTCGGTGTTTGTGTGCGTTCTACCCACCCTTCCTCTACACATGCAAATGTACAGGAGAGCTTCTGGGTGAATCACTACGCGTCGAAGGTGTTGTACACTGTTGACGGGTGGGTGGAACGCAACATGGACAGCGTGCCGCAATCGTTCGCGGATACCATTCTGTCGAGCAAACACTCGGTGAGTGGCCGGCAAGGTTTTGCTATTTCAAATGGCGTGCCTTGTAACTGGAGTACACACGGTATGTCGCACCGACTGCTGTACTGTTTTTAACTCAACTCAAGTGAATTGGAGCGATGGTGGGCGTCGGTGCCTGTTTTTTTCAAGTCCCGTCCAATGCTTCGCTGCAAAAACCACTACTGCTGCATGACTGTTGCCGCTTTTTCGGAGTAATGCTTAGTTTTTGACGTTGACATGATTGCAGTTTAAAGTAACATTTGCAGATTGCACAACGTTGTGCTCTTGACCAGCATCATCCTTCACAAACACACAATTTTCATTCATTAATTTCATTCATCCTATTTTTCTGACGCTTGTTTTCTGTGTCGGCGCACGAACAGGTAATTCTGGATGCGGGGTCTGAGTACAGGTCAGCGTCGGACGCTCCCGAGAAGGACAAGAAGTCTAGCACCGGGCAAATAGGGTCCGTGCCCCTCCCCAAGAAGCTGGGTGGCAGGCCGCAAAACAAGGTGGGATCTAGTGGACGTTCAGGAAGTGTTCTGCTGTATGGGGTGGTTGTACCGCTGTATGAGGTGCTTGTACTGCTGTAAAGGTGCTTGTACAGCTGTATGAGGTGGTGTTTGTGAGGCAAGCCTGAGTTGTAACAGCAGGGATATTTTATGGTTGTCCATGGCATGACGATGTGTTTTTGTGAGACGTTAACAGCACTGATTATGGTGTTGTGGTTGATGAGACGCGGATGTGTTTTTTTAAGACGTAAGTGATATGAGGTGTAGCGACCATTGATTGGCGATGATCGCGATGATGATGGTGGTGTTGTTGCTGACATGACGAGACGATGTGTGTTTGTGTGATGCGTAAGTAGGCAAGAATAAAGACTTGGGTAGGGTACTGTAACGCCCATCAAGCGCTGTACCAAGTCACCACCGTAGATTGTGTCAAGGAAGCGTTTTTGTCATTGGGAGAATGTGCACGTGATTGCTCTTCAAGAAGACTGTCATGAAATGACATGAAAGGAGGCATTTTTTCCCGTATGCACGTTGTTACTGTACAGCAGTGCTGTATAGATGAGATTTTTCCCCCGACATTGCGGCCCGTCCGTCAGACTACCATGCTGGCTAGAAGAACGGTGGCGGGCAACTTCATGATCTCCATGAAGAATCTCAGCGCAACCCTGGCGCAGACCACGTGCGGCTTCGTGCGCTGCGTCAAGCCTAACGCGGCCATGGACTTCGGCATCTTCGACGGCCAGTGAGTCTCGTTACTATCGTTGCTGTTGGCGCTCGCTGCATCTGCTGCTCCTACTGTTTTCCCATGGATGCTTGCTGCGCCGGGTTCCGGGGATGCATGCACGCGAGAGATGTTTTTCCACGGTAGGTGTCTGCATAGCTCTTCTTCATGACTTGTGTTTTTCCTTCTTTTTTTTTCGTGTCGCAGCTATGTGGTGGAGCAACTGCGGTGCCTTGGAGTCTTGCGGACGTGCGAGGTGCTCAAGGTCGGCATGCCCACACGTATCTCCTACATCGACCTCAAGATGGTGAGAAGCGCAACCACCTCCCCCAACATAGTCTGGTCGTCGAATGCCGCCGGAAGTCTTACCATGTGCTCTGCTTTTATCACGTTTGCAAGGACATAGTTGAGCAATGTATTCAATGTTTACTCACAAGCTTAGAGTCGTTCTTGGAAACATCAAAGAAGATCAATTCCTTTGGTTTGGTCAATTGTTGGGGCTGAAATACACACCACAAAGGCATCAACGGCTTCCTCGGGGTGTTCGTTTCGCGCAGACAGCGTGAAAATTCATTGTTCTTGCCTCCGAAAATGTGGGCTCTCGACAACATTTCCAAGTACGTTCGTCGCTCGCCCTCTTTTTCTTGTCGCAACGCGAGAGTTTTTCTGTCGCGGCTTGTTTGTTCTATGAAATCCCTGGTGACGCACTGAAAGTGCCCCCATCGTGTTGACGCTGCCTGCCAGTCACTGGGAGACGGCATCCTGGAAGCGGAGAAGATGTTCGAGGGCGAGCCGGAGAAGTCGCTCGTGGCCGCCATCCTGTGGGCCTTCGACGTGAGAGACTGCGTTGTTCGCTTCTAGGCTCCGGTTTCGTTGCTGATGGTGTCATCGTAGACGACGTTGCTGTTGTTTTTTTTGTTTGTTCTCGCTGATGGTGTCGTGCTAGACGCTCCTTGGCTCTTGGGTTGTTGCTGTTGGTTTGTTGCTGTTGGTTTGTTGCTGTTGGTTGTCAGGGTTGTTGTAGTTGTTGTTGTTGTTAAGTTGGAGGGCGACACTCGAGCGCGCTCAATCTCCCTATGAAAGTAGCCACCTCCTGTCGAAAATACCTGGTACGCGTATGTTCTTTTTTGCTTCGTCCCCGACCCGACTAGCTTTTCCCAATGCGACCACGAGCGTGAGGTTTTCGTTCCACGCTGACCGAGTATTCTTTACGCAACTTTGGATGACGACGGTGGGGTTTTCGCAGGTGCCTTCGGAGGCTTTCCGCTTGGGGGCAACTCGCGTTTTCTTCAGGGCCGGCCAGATTTCGGTCCTGCACAAGATTCTGAACGAGACACCGACGGAGAAGATTCCGTGGGTGCTGTCCAGGCTGCGGTTGGCCTTGGCGAACCGTAGGATGGCCAGGATCGCGGCGGAGGAGGCAGAGGTATTATTTCTATTTTTATTTTTTCTCTCCTTACGATACAAAACTATTCAGGTCATTTCTTCGCAGGCACGTACTGCTTCAAAACTATTCTACCTGGAATGTTCCTTGTTTTCGTACGAACAACTTAGTTGTGCGTTGTTCATTTCTCTCCACCTGGAAGCGTTTAACTTGTTTTTTATATATGCAATGATTACTTTTCTTCTGACGAGAACATTACACATTCTGTACAATACACTCGGGACGCGTCTTTTTCACTTTTTATGGTGCACCCTCGCCAGTCCTCTTCGTTATTGTTTCCCCCGTCCGTCTCCCCTCTTGTCCTTGCTAGGATGCCCTGGCGGAAGCTGAGGCCGCGGTTATGGAAGCGGAAGCGGTATCGTCCGCCGGTACCGGCCGCCCGGTGGAGAAGAACAACCGTCCCCCCATGTCGCCCGGAGCGAGCGCCGACGAGGATATCAAGGCGCTCGTGGCCACTGTGGACAAGGCACGCAGGGCCGCTCAGAACACGTCTCAGGTGTGTGGGCGTCGTGTTTGTCTTGTGTTGGTGCTATTGCCATCGACGGCCCTAACCGGCTGTGTTTTTTTTTATTATTATTATTAGCATCGACCGCGCCAACCGGCTGACCAATTAAAAGACGTCAGTCTCAGTGCGGCAGGAAACACAAAATGTTTCTATAGTCCACTATCTGGGACCTCGGGACCGAACGTCGTGTGTGTGTGTGTGTGTGTGTGTGTGTCTTTTTTTATTGGCATCGACGGCGCTAACCGGCTGACCAATTAATATACGTCAGTCTCGCTGTGGATGAAAACACACAATCCGTCTAAATGCCATAAACTAGGACCTAGTCTGTGTGTTTGTTTGTTGGCTCGACCGCGCTAGCCGGCCACGTATGAAGAGAATCCGTGAGCCTTAGTGCTGCGAAGACCATAATACTTTTCTATAGGCATGATCTGTGAATGTGTTTGTTCATACTGGCATCGAATGTGTGTGTCGGTCCCATTCATGCCAGTAGCAGTCTAGCCACCTTTCGGTAAAACTTTCTTTTCGGCCGGGGTCACGCACACGAACATGCAACATGCTTATTAGTACCGTTGCGACTGATTGTGTGTAACATATAACGTTTTTTTGGGTGTGATCAGGTCAAGTCGGTGCTCAAGGCGTCTGTGGCGGAGGGCGTTGGTCAGAAGGCTGTTGGTGCCGACGAGAAGGTGAAGAAGGCATCCGAAGAGGCTTTGGCGGACATCGCCAAGGCCACCCAAAGGTAAGACTCCCTAGAGAAAAGAGAGAGACCAGATGACATCGACCGCCGCACCTTGGTTCAGTCTCTCGCCATGCTCCCGCTAACCGTAATGCTAACTCACAAGCAAACGAATGAATGCCTCGCCTGACTCAAGGGCGAACGAGCTTGAAGGGCTAACGAACCTGGGCACGACGATGGCGGACGGCGCGACCGGCGAGACGTCCGCTGTGCGCGAGCTGCACACGGCCCTGAGGGACGTTAGGGAGGGCCTCGCCAAGTCCCGCAAGCTCTGGAAGAGCTCGGAGGAAGCGGCGGACAAGTGCGAGGTGGGCCAAGAATGTTAATTGTTATTCTTGGTTGTTCTGTTTTGTTGTTGTTTGCTATTGTTGTTCTTGTGCTGGTGTGTTGTTGTTGTGGTTGGTTCGTCGTTTTGTTGTTTGTTTTCGCCGCTGTGGTAGTTGCTTGTAGTTGAAGTTTGGCCTGGAAACTCTTTGAGCTTCGTCGTTGGCAAGGCGGACTGGCGCACCCCCGAAGCCCCATGAGTGCTTGTTCAGTCGCTGGCGTGCGCGTGTCGTGAAGCACACACCCTCTGTTTCACCCGTGGTACAAAAGCGTACATGTCTTTGACCCAGCTGGCGAATGCATTTGTGTACCATAATTTTTCTCCCTCCTCCTTGATTGCTCACTCGAAACCACAACTCTCTTTGCCTCGTTCTCCCTATGCTCGTCACGATGCGGGGCGGCACGGCGAAACTCACCAACCACCCTGCAGGGCTCTACCGCGGTCGAGGCCGCGAAACAGTCGAAAGACGTGGCCGCTGACGTCATCGAGAAATCGAAGGTCGTGTCGGAAACTTCCAAGAGGGCGATCGAGATCGCTCGAAAGCAACGCAGGGCTAAGGAGGCCACTACCCGTGCCACGGAGAAGGCCCTCCGGACGTTCAGGTGAACACCGTAGAGAGCACGGCCAACCGACAAGCCCTTTCATTTGTAGGAGTTATCGGTGCAGGTGGCCCAAGTCAGAGAATCAGCCTCGAGCTGGGAGCAAGCCGTTTCGATCGCAAGACGCTGACCGCAGCTCCCCGCCTCTCACGCCTCCCCCATTCTGGGGGGTCCTTTCAATAGGGCATGCTGGGCTTCGCCTCGTTTGTTGAGAGGGGCACCGGTGGATGGATTCCGCATGTACCTACTCAGCCCAGGGTATCCGTTTTGTTTCGGTTCGTTGCTGAGCATACTCACGCTCTTTCACCACTTGGAAACGTCATCGATCAGATTGAACCCGCGGGGGGGGAAGTGGGGGCCCGTTGATTTATGCCAGGGTTTCGTGCAGGAGAATGGGCTTTCGCTCTCTCTCGGCCTGTGATGTGTCCTGGCGCCGTTCATTTAAAGTTGGCTTGTGCATGCAAGCGGTTCGTGTGTGTCGCAATTTCTACCATACCGCAGGGCTTTTTGTCGTAATGTTGGACGCATCATTGTACCTACGCTGCTCTTCCTTCCGCATCCCGTTCTTACGGCTTCCTCCCCCCCCCCCCTTGT